CCTAATAACTGGTTGTGCCACCCTTGGCAGGAATAACAGCAAACATTTGCAAAAACTTGCGACAAGTATTTTACATCGCTGTGGAGGAATTTCGCCCCACTCTTCTTTGCTGAATTGTTTTAAATCAGCTATATTGGAGGTTTTTCAAACATGAACTGCCTGTTTAATGTCTTGTCACAGCACCTCAATGGGATTTAAGTCAGGACTTTGACTCGGCCACCCCAAAACCCTCCAGACCATCACACTACCACCACACGTCTAGCAAAAAGTTCCACCCCTTGTCAGTCCACAGAATATTAATATATAATATATATCCCATAAGTTACCTAGATGTTTTTTTTTTGTTTTTTTTTGTTTTGTTTTTTTTCAAATGTGAGATGGGCCTTTGTGTTCTTTCTGGTCAACAGTAGTTTACATCTTGCAACTCTCTCATGAATGACATTTTTGCCCAGCGTCTTTCTTATTGTGGAAGCATTACCTACATTGACCTTAACTGAAGCAAGTGAGGCTTGAAGTTCTTTGGATGTTCCTTTGTGTTCTTTTTTGACCTCCTGGATGGTGAGACTTTGGTAGGTTGGCTAATCCGGGGAAGGTTCACCATTGTTCCAAGTTTTCTTCATTTGTGAACAATAGAGGTCTGCACAGGCCTGATTTTTAATGCCCACATCCACTCAATTCAAACAATAATCAAGTCCACCCACACGCAAAATAAAGTGTGATTCTTGCCCACACCTGCCCGCCAAATGTAGCACAATTTTTCAACCACATGCCATGCCCATCTGCATCCACCTACTTTGGGCTGCACCACCCTATGTTTGGGTGAACATAATTTGTCCTGTTCAACTCCTGCCTGTGTTTGCTGTAATCTGCTAAACTGCTGTAGGATGTGTCTGTCCAAACCTTGTGACATGGCAGAGTAGCCTAAAGACCATCATACCTCCACAGACCCTTATATTTAAGTTAAGTAAGTACAACATCAATTCCAAAAAAGTTGGGATGCTGTGTAAAATGTAAATAAATGTAAATAAAAACAGAATGCAATGAATTGCAAATTTCACAGACCCATATTTTATTCACAATAGAACATAGAACACATATCAGATGTTGAAAGTGAGACCATTTCATGAAAAACATTAATTCATTTAGAACTGGATGGCAGCAACATATCTCAAAAATGTTGGGACAGTGCCATGTCTACCATTGTGTAGCATCTTGTTTTCTTTTAACAATAGTCTGTAAATATCTGGGAAGTGAGGAGACCAATTGCTGGAGTTTTGTTAGAGGAATGTTGTCCTATTCTTGTCTGAAGTAGGATTCTAGCTGCTCAACAGTCCTGGGTCTTCTTTGATGGATTTTTCATTTCATTATGCGCCAAATGTTTTCTATTGGTGAAAGGTCTGGACTGCAGGCAGGCCAGTTCAGCACCAGGACTCTTCTTCTATGAAGCCATGCTGTTGTGATGGATACAGTATGTGGTTGGTCAGAGCACCCCAGTACAGCTGCTGTCTGTGGTGTGATGGAGATGACTCTGTTAACAGTGTAAAAAAATAAATAAATAAATAAAAAAAATAAAGAAACTTATTGTTTGATGTGAGCCAAACATTGCAGTCTCCAAACTGAATGAAAAGCTTCCTACATTACTGGCTGAATACACAACAGTGAAGCAGATCATTGTTCATGTGGGTAAGAATGGCAAAAAGAAACAGAAGTCTGAAGCATTAAAAAGTCTTTAATGGTCTCTTTAATGCATTTAGGGGAAGCTCAATATGCAGTCATTTCTTAGTGGTCCTCTGCTTATTTACTACTTATCTACTCCCGTTGGCAGAAATACATCAGCACTAACACCCAATGACTCCAGAGCAGTACATGTTTTGAAGGCAAGCTTGGACCCTGTGTGCTGGTAATCTCTCCTATTCCAGTACTTATCAGAAAAGAAAACAAAACAGGAAGTACTTGTCAGATAATGTGAATAAATCCAATCTGCAGTACATAAAAAGCAAGTCGGAAACAAAGTGCACAGGTTATTAAATAAGCTCTTCTCAATATTAGATCTCTCACAAACAAGTCTTATTTGAATTTTATTAGAGCTCATGGGCTTGATTTTATGCTTTTAACAGAAACATGGTTGAATAAATGTACTGCTGAAACCACATTAATCGAGTCGACTCCATCCAACTTTAACTTTATAAATGTCTCACATGCCAGCAAGAAAGGCAGAGGTCTAGCTGCTCTATTTAATGACTCTTCCCAATGCAAGCAATTATCACTGGGTGATTTCACATCCTTTATCTTTGTGCGGTTCTGAAAGGGGCACCAAGAATATTACTAGTAATTATCTACTAGCCTCCAAAGTACAATGCTAATTTTATTGGTGAATTAACAGATATATTATCTTTCCACAGATTTTGATCCTTTTGTTTTTGCTGGTGATTTTAATGTACACATTGACAATCCCAATGACAATCATGCCAAAAAACTCTGTTCTATACTGAACTCTTTGGGACTCCCTTAGCATGTGACTGTGAGCACATGAATAGCTGTCTGGATAATTTTCTCTCAGGATTTCAGCCTAATTATAGTACCGAAACTGCTGTAATTAAGGTTATTATTCACATTTGCTTGCATACAGACTCTAGAAAAATATCTGTCCTACTACTGCTTGATCTTAGCACTGCCTTTGATACCATTAACCATAAAATTCTAATGGATAGACTTAAGAACTGGGTTACTAAAAAGTCCTGAAATGGTTCAGTTCATACATGCAAGGAAGGGGTTACTTTTTATAATAGAAATAATGTTTATGAGAGAGTGCTAGTAACTTGTGGTGTCGCCTAGGGTTTAATTCTTGGGCTGCTCTTATTTAATTTATACATGCTTCCACTTGGCCAAATACTACAATACTGCAAATACTACTACAAGTTCTATTATCCCACTAGTACAAGTACACTCTAGGAATTCTCCTTCTCTAATGTTTATTCACTAGAGAAGTAACCTAAACATGTTTCATTACACTGATTGAGTGGGAAGAGCCAGAGTTGAACAATACAGCTATGATGTAGGTTAAGATGCTCTCAGTGGTGAATATGCACAACTGGGACAGAATCAGTGGAGACATAAGTTACCGTAACTTCTTTGATGAGCTTTCTTGATAATCGTTGTTAAGATGGTGGTAGTGCAAAACTTACATGACTCCATTTTAATTACGGCACTTTTGTTGATAGCCAAGATGGTGGATGGGTGGGTTCTTTCACCAGCCTATCACCATCACTACTGTTTTTTGGGTGCACCATGTAGCTAAGAGGGCCACCTCTGTCCTGTAGGTGGACTCATCATTTTTGATCATGAGCTCTACATGAGTTGTGTCGTCATTGTCCCAGTCACACAAGCCACCTCCTGAAAGCAGAGCTGCAGTATACTGACACGATTTTGGCTTAGGAGCCTGGAGTGTCCAAATCAATCAATCAACCTTTATTTAATCTCAGAGAACATTGAGGGTGACCCTCATTTACAATGTTGCAGAGTTAATACAGAGCAAGGCATTGATAATATGTAAGAACATATCAAATTATAAAAGTAAATTTAATAAATAAAGACTCAAATCAAGTAAGTATAAAACAGTGAAACATTAATAATAACAATACAATAAAATATGAAACAATAATTAAAACAGCTAAAATATAAAGGTTAATCAAATCTAATCAAATAAAATGTTTGGGAACATAACATATACTAGTTGACTGCATCATCTGTTGAACAGTTTGCCCTATAGGTAAACAAATGTTGATCAGGAAGTGGTGAAAAATTACATTTGTATGAATTGTTGTTTTTCCAACAAAGATATTTCTGATTAAAACACGTGGTATGTAATTATCTACATCAGTTACCTACATTACCTGTTTTGCAATTACCTACAAACTATCTACACTCCATCTTCAAGGAAATGACAACTTTTCTAACATTTAGCTAGCTGCAGCAGTATACCTGTAAAAACAGAATAGCTGTTCACTCTATTACATATGTGGGATTATATGAGAGTAAGTATTGACATTTTTATTATCAGATTAGTGAATAGTTCACCAGTAGTTACATAGCTGTTGTATGTATTATTAATGTGTGACTATACAGTCCTTAGAGACACAACTTAAGGGGGACCCACAAGACTTCTTGGTTAAGCACAACTCCAAACATGTTAAGCAGAAAAAGTTTGGCTCAGACAGTCTGACAATCAGTGCTACCAGTACTGCACTAACTGAGAGCAGTGTCTACAATTCACCATAATGAGATGATGTTCTTTCATCAGCAATCATTTTAATTTGTGTACATATTAAAAAAAAAAAGTCTTAGAGAGTAAAACAAAAAAAGTTAAATGAAGCACTAAAAGAAATACATCACTATAAAAAATGTACTATTAAACCTGTGATTTTTAAGCTGTGTATTTTTTTTTTTTTAAATTCCTGTACCACAAACATATTTCAGACACATAAACATGTGACAAAACTGAGTACACATTTAGCTCCAGTGAAAAGATCAAAGTGAACTCAATGCTGAATTACAGTGATAGGTCTCTGTAAGTCATGAAGTTTAACTGCAGTGTGCTTGCATTAAAATTTTTTCTGCCTAATTTTTAATATTAACAGTGGAAGTGGAAATTTTGACAGATTTTTCTCTTGAAATCTAGTCACAGCATGTCTTTATTTTGTAGGTATTTAGAGAAAGTGCAGTGAGTGTACGTTTGTGGTAATGTAATAAATGACAGTAAAATTGATAAAGACAAGCTTTTTTCCACATCAACAAAATAATAACAAAAATAGATTACCACTACTACTATTAGTACCACTACTACTGCTACTACTACTACTAATAATAATATTAGTAATAATAACAATAATATTAATAATAATAATAATAGCAATAATAATAAGTACATGCTTTGTCTACAAACTACAGATTAACAACACTGAGGGAGTGTCTAGCATAAATACTTCCTCATTATCAGATGAAGAGAAAGTAAATGGTAGCAGCATCTCAGCATTCAGGTAGGTCCTCATTTCATATTTTTAATTGGTAACTTTATGTCTTTACATTTTATGACATGCAGGCTGTATCATAAGAGTGAGCTATAAGCCACTTGTCATTTAAACTAGGAACAGTCAGACATTACTGACTTTTTTACTTTTTCTGTACAATTAGGGAAGTTTAAGAAAAACTATTAGAAGAAACAAATTAAACAAAAAATATTAGTCTTTATTGAATAATTAAAATCTTAATCTTCTCAGATGTGCAGTGATTTCTTTTATTTATTTATTTTTCTTTTTTATTTTTTTTTTTTGTTTAAGCTCTCAATTTTATGAATTAATTCCAAGTCAGTGTCTACTGAGAAACTAACCTTTCCAGATCTTTAAAAGAAGGTAATCTGCATTGAAATGTCAAGTGTTTGTAAAATTAGCAAATGATTTGTGAGATTGGAAATGTAGAATCATGTAAAATTTTCCTTTATTTGCATAACCGGGCGTCTGTTGCAAAAACAAGCTTTTATTTCAGGTGGATGGGGGCTAATGTTATAAGTGACCTCTAGTCTTTAACAGCAAACTGGCTTGGCAAGTTTCTTCATTGAATTCCATTACAAATCTTAGGATTACATTTACAAGTGGTATAATGGAAAAAAATAGAGTTAGGGAATCTAAGTGTAATCTAAAAAAAATGATAAGCAACCTTGAAATTTTCATTTCAGTCAGTTTTGGTGATGTGGTAGTACCACTGACCTCTCTCCCTGCCTGCTTTATAACTTATCATTCTGCTGAGCATTGCCAGTGGTGTTGTCTGTCTCATTCTTCTTTACAAAGAAAAAATGTTGAAAACACAAATTGGGCTTCATTCAGTCACTGTGTCTTTAAATCTTACAATGGAGAGAATAGATTTCTGAAAGACAAAATGAAGTCATTTAAACCTTGAATTTCCACCTGCCATACAAGTCCAGAATTCCTGACTACAGCCTAGCATTAAGCCAAAATGTTGAATTTCTTAAACTTAAGTTTAGGTGGCACTTTATTTTACAGAAAGGTAAATAAAAAGGGTTTAATAGGTTAATATGTAGAACTTACAAATGATTTTCTGGTACATTCTTTGCAGATAGATAGCAATTTACATGATTTACACCAAAAATACCAAGTACAGCTGCACTTACTCAGTACTTAATAGGTATTATGTATTACTTACATCTAATTTACTGGTACATACTTTGCAAGTCAGTAACTATATGAAAACCTTAAGGTGTGTACAACAGTATGTATTCAGAATTTAATGGTAAATGTATAGTAGTTTTATTCAAATACAATAACTCATTCTATATTACTTGGTATGTTTACTGCTGAGTTATATGCAATATTTTGGTAATAGTGTGGTAATAAGACTGTAAATACATAGTAATTTGACAGTAACTACCAACTCTTATCATATTTGTATGCACACATTAACCACATGTAATACCAGGTACATACAGGAACATTTCCAGAAATATGATGGAAACAGTACTGTAAAATAAAGTGTAACTTTGTAGTATTTACACAGTGAGTATTTGTTTTCTTGTCTTTGTGAAATCAAAATCTATTTGTGTTTTTGTCTTTGTGGTAATCATACATCATGTTTACATTACCATTTTTTAGAGGTCAGGTTTGACCCTCAGACAACATTCTAAACAAGGTAACAGTTTGGAAGATAACAGTGTCTAATTTACTTACACACGAAAAACAACAAACAACAAACCACAGAAACTTTCTTCTTCATGTTTTGCTGTTGCTTTTTTTCAGTCTTGGTTGTCAGTGGACTTTCAAATTAGCACAAGGTCGGCTCAGATTAGTTGCTAACATGTCTTTGGTTACAGTTGTACATTTGTTGCATCATGTTTTCTGTTAATGGGTAAGGATGATTGGCAGGGATGTGGCAAAATTGAGTGTGACATTTTTGAAATAGAGATGAATAAAAATTATTCTACCTGGCCCTAAATGCTGTAAGAAAAATGGGTTTAACATTTTAATGGTAAGTGAAATAGTTATTGATTGATTTTCTACTTCAAGCACATTTCTATAATAATATTCCACACAAAGTCCTTTGATATTTCATAACAGCGCAGTGGAAAACCTGTTAATCCTGTTATAATCAGCTGTGTTTATGGAGCACACATCCTTACCACAGGGCTTTTATATTTTGCAAACAAAGCTTATTTCCTTTTTCTTCATAAAACCAGCTGGGGGAGGGCATTTCAAACAGATTCATTGTCTTTCATTTTCTAAAAGCAGCTTTGAACAAAAAAAGAAAGAAGAAGAACAAATTGTAGTTATTAAAATTTCTCTATTGTCGATAATTGACTGCAGTAAAATAAATAAATGAAGGCATATTTTGTGTTGGCTCAGGATCACCACCTAATTATAAACTTAAAAGACTTACATACATTATTTAAATTAAAAAACAAATCTACCCCAAACCTGATATTTTATTGCACCCCATTGGGCTCTGATGACGTAGCAGGCCTCTAATGTGTACATAAAGGGGTAAATCAACTACAAGAGGTTGGCACCTCTAATTATGTTTATATTATGTTACAAATTGGGTTTGGAGATCATCTACTGTGAGCCTTCTCCATATTCCACATATGAAACATAAAAAGAGCAGTGAGGCAGCGTTATGTTCCAACACAATACCTGCAACATATTACCAATAAACATCCATCAGGCTCCCACAATGCTTTTAAAAAAAAACAGTTAAACATATTTCTTTACTTTAGCTTTCAACTGTTTTTTTTCTTTTTTTTTTTCCTCTCTTTTTTTTAACTGGAATTTTAAGTTTACCTTTTTTGTTAACTGTTCTATTTTTATTTTTATTGCATTTTTTATTTGTACTTTTATCTTGTGTATTTTAATGTTAAATAATATTAATATATCAATTTTTCTGTTACTGCTTTTATTCATATATGTATAGCTTTTTTCTTCTTTTTTTACTTTTTTATTTCTATGCTTTGTATTGTAAAGCACTCTGAACATACATTTTTAATGTATGAAAGGTGCTAAATAATAATAATAATTATTATTACTATTATTATTATTATTATTATTATTATTACAAAGTTACACTGATTGAATATTTGTAGTTTAGTGCAGAATGAATGGCTAATCTTGATATTACTGTATTGGGACCTAATCCCCAACTGCTCCCCGGGCGCTGCGGATACAGCTGCCCACCACTCCGGACAAGTGTGCTCACTGCCCCCTAGTGTGTGTCTTCACTAGTGTGTATGTGGTGTTTTACTGCACAAGATGGGTTAAATGCTGAAGTGAAATTTTACCATTGTGGGACTAGTAAGGGTCACTTAATCTAATCTAATCTAATCTAGTTTCTAATACTGCATCTAGATACAGTATAGGGATATGCACTGACTGTATCACAACTATATCTTCAAACACATATTTCCTGCTGCTATCATGGATTACATAGTACAGCTAATGTAAACGTAGATTTTACTAATGTAACTACAAAACTATGTCTTGATAGTTGCAACTGCCCATATTTTCTTAATGTGCAACAGAGTGAGAATAATTATTACTATGAAATGTAATTATCTAAATGAAGTATCAAGTGTTTCCTAACACCTAAATAGCTGTAGTGGTATGTGTTTGTAACCAAAGTTCTAGTTTTAAACTTTGCTATAATTTGAAGGTTTTTATGAAGCAACAGCAAGTTTATCTTTGACAGACCTCTCTTATGTAGCTAGTTGGTCAGATTACACAAATACTTAACAGTACCTAGGTAAATAATTACAAGCAGTGCACAAGCATTCTACTATAGATGGCTAAATGTTAAGATAGATCGCATTTCCAGTGCAGATACAGTGTGATTTCTCTCATAATGTAAAAAATTACGCACCTTCTGTTATAATAAGAAAAGTCATATTATAGCAGTTTATCCAAATGTAAATACTCTTATCTTATTACATGTGTGTAATTGTGTACGAGAAAATAACATTCACAACAACCAGTATACACAACTATTATGACAAACTTGAATAATTACACGTAATCCATCTGTAAAAGTGAATACATCACCAGTAGTTACATTGTTGTTGCATCCACTGTTAATGTGTAACTTCATGGTTATTAGAGATAGGTAATATGAAGTGAAACCTGTGGTCTCACTTTATATTAAGTGTCTCTAATAACTGTGTAGTTACACATGAATAACATATGTAACAACACTGTATCTACTGATGATTTCGTCAATGTTACAGGTGGATTACAGAAGCACAGCCTATGTGATTACACATGTGTATCAACTTCAGTTTTGCCTCATGTAATTACACAAGGGGATCTTTTTGATGCACTACAGGTCAGAAGTCTTTTCAATAAAAGACGCAAAACACAGCAGGATCTCATAAAATACTGTTGATTTTCCAAAATATTACAAACACAAAATGAATGAATTGTGAGTAGCTCACCACTACAGTTTATTTCATGTTAAGATGATGTGGGTTGTAAAATGGCTTAATACAATGCATTGAAAATACAATGTTTTTTTTTTTTTTATTTATTTATTTATTTTATTTTTTATTATTATTTTTTTTATTCATCATTGGGAGTGGTTTTAAAAAATGCTTTATTAGCCTTAATATCACCTTTATTAGTGATTTTTTTTTTTCATTGTTCTTACAGAAACTTCTGTCCTAATTTGTTACAAATTAATATGCAGAACTTTAAAATGAAGCTCTTCGGTTGCACCATTGGACTTTACGTGACCAACACAAACATTACACAAAGCTTAAATGTCAAAATGACAATGTTCTTACTGTTCTATAATCATTTTTTAAAGCACCTATGCTGTGTGACACAGTTATTCAGTCTAATAATGTGGTATTGACCATTCCAATATGGTGACATCATTAATGTGCCTGGGTCCATCCCAGCTGGTGGTCTCATGGTTAGTTGTGCATGCCTGTGGGAACTGCAAGACTGCAAGTTGTCTTTTTGTCAGTTTGGTCTTCACAGGTTTCACGTCAGTCTTGCTCTGTAGGCCTTCAGGTTTCTGATGTAATAAAAAATTCTAGTTATCTCCTCCTATATTTTAGCATTTTCATCAGTGTTTAAGTGTATCAGAGAGGAGACAAGTGGACACAAGCACAACTTCACCTCCACCTAGATGGTTCTGGGTGGTTATTTGGTTATTGATGTATGTATGTTTCATGTATTTCTGGGATTTTTATGTTATTCATTATAATAAATTCATTAACAAATTCATATTCATTTTTTCTTCTTGTTTATTTTCCAGAACCATGTTTCAACTTTTGCTGCTTTTAGGTCAGTAATACTTTTTGTGTGTTTGTGTGTGATATGTTGGTAACACTTCACATTAAGGGTTTCAAATGAATTGAAAATTATATGTCAATAAATAAGTTAAATACTCATTGTTCATATATTATTTACCTGCTTATTGAGCATTAGTTACTTATCAGTTCATTATCAGTTTAATAAATGTCAATTAGTACAAAGTTAATGAGTAATTAAGCTGTGAACTAATGACAAACTAAACTATCAGTTAACAGTGAACACTCTGTTAAACATACAGTTTATTTCCCTTTTTGTTCTTGAACACTGTTTATAACTGTAGGCTTGTGTCAAAATATTTCAGAGTAATTGTGAAACATTTTTGTCCATTAACCATTTTAACCACCCTCAGCAAGGGTGCCAAGAATTATGGACCTAACTGTATGTTGTTATATGTGCCAAAAATATAAATTCATCATAATTGACTTTTTCATTTTATTAAAATTTCATTTAAAAAGCAATCCAGGCTAAAACACTCCTTATAACTTCAACATGAATTGGTGGTCGCAGGATGAAAAAGTTTATATACTGTACAGTCATATGCAACAGTTTCTGCACCCATTGTCAAATGACATGTTTTGTTGTAAATAAGTGGTTGAAAATAAATTAACACCTCCTCTACAGAAAACTCAAGTCTATTAATGCACAATTACTGAATTACTGAGTTTAGAGTGAACTGTGTTTTGAAACGTGTAGCATTTTATGCTATAGAGGAAGACACAGCGATCCCCACAGAACTGTTGAGTTTTATAAATAGCTGTATTTGGCTCCATGTTTTGTGTCTGTGCTGTTATCCGGTGTCGACCAGAGGAGGATGGGTTCCCCTTTTGAGTCTGGTTCCTCTCGAGGTTTCTTCCTCCTGTTGAGGGAGTTGTTGCCACTGTCACCAAGGCTTGCTCACTGGGGGCGTGGACCCGGATTCTCTGTAAAGCTGCTTTGTGACAACATCTGTTGTAAAAGGCGCTATATAAATAAATTTGACTTTACTTGCATCATACATGAAATAGTTCTTCCAATACTTTTTTCTAAGCCTTGCCTAACTAGTTCAGCTGCCAGTGATAGACTGACCCTCTCTTTTCAAACTAAGCCAAAAAAGGCAGTTCTGTCTTCACTAACTGGGATGATTGTTGTGTATTCACCCACTACATCACCGGTTGCAGGTCTGGGTCTTTTGCTGATCAGCCCACTTGTTGCTGTTCACCTCTCACAGGAAACCACAGCTTTGTATGGTCTCCCTGCATGCCAACTCAACCTGTACACCTTCCCCTTTTCCCCACTCTTTTTCTCTGGCTTGTTCACTTCATGGATGCCAGGACAGGGCATCAGAATTATCATACCGCTCAAGCTATAGTGAATTCATAAGTCTGTAGCTCCTCTAGCCAACAGACCACCTGCCCCTCAGGCTCTTTGGAAGTCATCAGCCAGTACATGGTGGTGTGTTTGGAGCATAGGATGATAGGCCTGCCACACAGAGAGTGCCTAATAACAACAACAGCTCCCATCGAGTGACAGTACCTTCGCTCAGCTTTATTCATTATTCCTCTGAAGTAGGCCACAACTCTTTCTCTGTCAGGCCACTTTTGTGAAAGCACTACATTTACCCCCACTTCATTGATGTCCATATCTAGGATGATAGGCAGATTAGGGTCTGGGGGTGCCAAGATAGGCACACTCGTGAGGGCTTGCTTCAGAGCCTTAAAAGCTGAGTAACAGTCCTCTGAACAGTTGAAGTCTTGCTCTTTCTGGAGCAGCTTGTACAAGGGGGCAGCAATGCAAGAAAACCTCCTTATAAACTTCCTGTAATAAGAGGCTAGCACTAAAAAGGTTTTCAACTGCCTTTGAGTATTGGTGTGAATCACTCGCATATGGCATGCTCCTTGTCCTCTGCAGGGTGTGGACGCATAGGTTCACTGGGGACAGTGCTCTGACAAACCTGATCATGGGCTAGTTCAATCTGAACTAAGGGCAATATGTGACTATAAGACCATCTTTCTACAGTCTCAGTATTGCTAAGCTAGAGCCCAGAGTGACTCCCCTGCCTGCCTTCAGTGGTTACACAGTTCAGATCGCAAGTGCTTGGGCTGGTAACCCTGACCAAAATGCTTCCAGAGCACCCCAACTGATGTATTGCAGTCATTTCATTCACTAGGATAAAGTCGCAGCAGGCAAGTTAAAGGATCATCAATCAAACAGGGCTTCATGTTCATCAGACCACTTGGCTATCAGTTTAAATTGTACATGGAAGGCCTCCCAATCTGCTTTACCAAAGTTTTACACTTACTGCTAAGCATCATTCCTGTGTGCCACCATCATTTACACTTGGGGTTTCCATTGTCCCACTGGAAGCTTTGGATGGCACAGCATCACAATTGCATCCTGCATCCTATGCTAACTACCATACTTAATCTCTGCCAGCATCTCCATTCACTCACTCGGCTCTCTTACTATAATCAGAGCTGGCCTGAACCTCCCCTGATGTCTGTGGTGCTTGTGAAGATGCAAACTTGTTGTCATCATCTTCAGTTTTCACATGAACACAGTTCTCCATCTCATCTCCAAGCTTCATAGCTTTGCTTTGCTGCTAGTGGCTGAATTATCAGAATTACTCCCATTCAGGCTAAACTTTTTCTTCTCATGCAAAATGTTTTATGGACGGCCGTAGTTGGCTCCAGCCTTGCCCCATACATGGAATGGTTCTTCTAAAATTTTGATCCAAGCCTTGCTACTTTTAATTTGCTCAGCTGCCAGCAATAAAGTTATGCTTTCTTCCTTAACTATGCATCAAAACAGTCCAAAATGGCAGTTCCACCTGTAGAGGCCCTGTAAAAATGAACCAAGAAAACAACTACCAGAAAATGAATAACCAGAATAGCATACACATTTCTGCAAAAGGTACACATGCATTAATAGCAGTAGGGTACATTAATAAAATTATGCCACTTATCTGTTTTATTGTTGGTTTGCTAAGCTAATACTATGGATGAAGGTGCAAGTTGTTCAGGATGCAAACATGACTTTGTGTCTTTAACAGGGTTTTGCACCCTTGGAGTTTGTCTTCCTCGTCAGTATCACTTTGTGAATGACTACAAGACCTGGTATGAAGCACAGAGTTACTGCAGAGAGCATTATGTTGACTTAGCAAGCATTGATAATGCTGAAGAAGGATTGCAGCTTATTAACTTAGTAGACATCAGGAACAGTGTCCCAATGTGGATTGGCCTGTATGACGATCTGAACATCTGGAGATGGTCTCTGGAGGATGATGACTTCTACAAGGGGAATGAGAGAAAGTTCAGAAACTGGTACATACAGAAACCTACCAACTGGCATGGAAACAGCTTATGTGCATACTATTCAACCAATTATAAGACATGGCATGAAGCCCCATGCACTGTAGAATTACCATTCGTCTGTTATGATGGTAAGCAAATCTATATATTTTGTGATTGTGTGTATGTTTATACAGTATAAATGTTCCTTTGCTCTGTTTCTCTATTTTTGTTATTTTGTTTCTACCTTTACCACTTTTATAATTTGAACAGAACAATAGAAATAATGCAAGTTGACTTTGAAAAAAAATATGTTTTCCATTAACATCCATTCAATATTAAGATTGGTAACATTACAATTTGGAAGATATGGGGTTTTGCTTTAACAGTAGGGTGCTGTGCAGATGTCTCCTAAGGGCACCAAAGCAATTTTTTTCAAACCGTTTATATGGAAAATATATATATATATTTTTTTTTTGTCAGTCAAAGCACCGCGTTGTCAACTTAGAATTATACGTTTTTTTCTGCAGATCAGTGCTGTTCTGACATATTGAGGTTCAAAGCAGTTCAAAATAGAAAACTTATGTAAATCAATTGCATTTCTTAATAAAGTCATAGTCTTGAGATACTATTGACCACTGAATGTTAGAATTGTAGGGTATTTCAAAATAGCCATTTCATGAATGGAACAAGTGCAGATAAAACTTTTCTTTAAGTTTAGAATTTAACACGGTTTTATCTGTCAATAAAAACACAAGCCACTATAGAAACTTGATGATACTATTTAAGACAGATAAAAGTTTATCATCATAAATACTGAAGAAACATGAAATGTAGGTAAATCTAAAAGCAGCTAGTTCAGTGTAACCGTGTATCACATTGCTGTTTTACAATAAGTTTATATTCAGATATTTGTACCGAGTGAGATTGAGTCAAATAACGAAATTTTAGGCTTAGAATGGAAAGGGTCTTTCTGCAGTTCAGTGCAGTGTTTAAGTCAAAGATTCCACTTTCAAAATAGCAAAACTCTTATATAGTGCAATCAGATTTCTTATCCTCATGAAGTGCCCTGAGATACATTTGACCACTGAACATTAAAATATTAGGAAATTTGGAAATAGCTTTTTTCTGGAATGGACCAGATGCAGGTAGAACCTTATAATTTTGAGCTCTCTAAGGTTCTAGTTGTGTATAAAACCCAAAGTACTAGATGAACTTCACCAAACTGTTTAAGATTCAAAGTCTATCATCATAAATACTGAAGATATAAATATAGATGGTTAATTCTACAGAAACGTCCACTTTTCTATCTATAATAGGAGTCACTGTTGTTACTGATCGTCACTGAGATAGGTAGCACCAGGGACAATAACACCAGTGAAATTTTTAATGAAAAAAGCATTTTACTAAATGGCTGCTACAGATCGTCAAACCACATGTTGTCAGTCATGGAATTTCCACTAAAATATGTAATTGAATCCATTTGTATTCTATTTTTTTTCACATTAAGAATAAAGTCGGTCACACTAGTGACATCAATTAAAAGCTTCATATGAAATCATGAGCTAAATGAGAAAACTGAAAGACACAGTGGACTCTTTTGCTTTTCTTCATAGATCCTCAGAAAATAGGTAAAAGGAAGTCAAGTGATGTCATCAGTGTGACTTTTATTTCAAAATAAGGGATTCTTTGTTACATAGTAACATCAGTGACATGACTCCTGGGGACCACGACTTTCATTATATATTTTATTATATTTATGTGGCTTTTGTTTTCTTTATGTCATTTAATTAATATTTTCCATAGTCATAGTATAGATTATTGCTGTCAAACTTGCAGAAAAACATGTTTTAACCTCAAAATATGGTACTCAGTCTTTACACATGACTGTAGGGACGAGCACCTCTGTGGTGCTTGGAATTCTATATAATTGATCTAAAAACCAAAATTGCTAAATTGATAGATCAACAAGGTGTAATTGTTAAAATAACTTATTGTTTTATTTTAAAATAAATAAATAAATTGTAACCCTAACCCGGACACAAAAATGAATATTTCTGTAGAGTGACCCAAATGCACCTAGTACAGAGTCACATTACTCTTTTACTATATATATATATATATATATATATATATATATATATTTTTTTTTATTTTTATTTTTTTATTTATTTATTTTTTTTTGGACAAAACCTGGGCACAAAAAAATAAAAAAAAAATGATAGAGCCAAGTTTAAGTTTAAGCAGCTATGAAGTTGGAAAAATAAAATAATGTTAGTAGCTATGCCAAAACCATACAATGAACAAAACATTAGCTTCCTGTTGTTTTAAGTAGTTTTACTTAGGCGTGCTGGAGAATACGCAACAGGTATCTGGATTAGCCTAACAAGTTTTGAGGTACTGTATCTGTGCAACGTTGTACTCAAAATATGAACAGAGTTTTACTCATTTGTCTGGCAAACTATTTAATTCCTGAACACCATGACCAGAGCCAGAAATTCCTAGCAAAATCATTGATGCCAGTAACTGTGCTTTCTGAAATATTAACTATTACTTTTTTTGTCCCTCACAGGAAGCATGAATGCCTCTGAAAGATATGTTGTGGTTCCTAAATACATGAACTGGACTGAAGCTCAAAGATACTGCAGAGAGTTTTACACTGACCTGGTCAGTGTGAGGAACGAGACTGAGAACCAGAAGTTAAAATCTGTACTTTTAGTATTTTTTAATTATGATTATTATCTATCAAGTGCATGGATTGGTCTGTATAGAACCAGATCGTGGTCAGATAGGAACAATTCTTCTTTCAGCAACTGGAATCTAGGACAACCAGATAATCTTTGGGGGAAAGAATACTGTACAGCTGTGTTATTTGATGACTTGGCCAATGGCCAATGGACAGATGAAAACTGCAATCAGCCTTTTCCTTTTTTCTGCTACAGTGGTGAGTAGACTTCTTGAACACAAATGCCCACATAAGGCTCAACCCTAGGAATATAAATACCCTATAGATGGCAGTTAGGCTTCTTCCCAAAGCTCAAGAAAAGCCATTGTAGTGAAATTGCTCAGAAAAACTAAAAACAGCTGCTATAGTAAAACTGCATTTTACAGTGGGGATTCTATTCTACTCTAGGGTTGCTGCATGTGTGTGTCTTACTCATGGGGTTTATTGTTATTGTTAATTATTAGTTCATTTTTATGGTTGCTATAGCTAATCTTTAAAAACAGTGAAACATAAAGTCTGTTTGTAGCTTAGATGGAGAATAATGAGGGAGCTGATGTAAACTAAACAATGCTGTTTATTATAGTGAAGGTGAACAGTATGCAGATCTGAGAGATTAGAGAACCTGCCAAAGTTGAACCTGAACTGACGCTCTGGGTTTGCGTGTGACATATTTGTGCAATTTACTTGAGCACATGTGTAACTGTTCATATCCAAATGCACATAAAATGCATTTTTTTACATTTCTTAAAGCAGCTCAAGCTGGCCTAAAAATGTCCGGGTCAAATGTGGAAGCACACAGAGTGTCAGCTTCTGAATGAAGTGACAAAGCTCTCCACTCTACCTTCAGTTTCCAACAAGAAAAGTAGTCCAGCATCCCCATTTGTCCATTCTGTTAAGACTAAAAGATTTGTCATCATTTCAAGATGGTGGCTATAATAATATACATTGTTTGGAATGTGTTTTACACATGAAAATAATATCAATGCTATATTATAATTAATACAATTGTTATTAGAATAAAAAATTGTTTTCCATTAAACAACATCAATACTGACAATGAAACTCTTGTCTATACTAAGAGTGTTAATTACTGGTAGTTATTGGTAGAACTTAAACATCTATCATTTGTCTTGAATTTCCCTAGCAATGTCATCTACATCTGTTCGTCAGTATCACTTTGTTGATGGAAGTAAGACCTGGACTGGGGCACAGAGTTACTGCAGAGAGCATTACACTGACTTGGCCACCATTGATAGCATGGAGGAAATGAACATGCTCATTAACACAGTAAATGGCAGCTACTCTGGTTTAGCCTGGATTGGACTGTATGATGATCTGGACAGCTGGAGATGGTCTCTGGATGATGACAGTTTCTACAAGGAGGGAGAGAGAGATTACAGAGGGTGGCCCCATCAGCCTGACAACTATGTTGGAAAAGAGATGTGTGTCTATATGAGTTCCTCTGGGACATGGTTTGATAAATCATGCAATACAAATTATCCATTTATTTGCTACAATGGTATGGATTTCTGATATCAATCTACTTTTTTTCAGTTTATGTTCTCCTCTGTAGAAGTTGTTGATCATTTTGTTGATCTATTTTAGAAACAGCTGGATCTGAGAACTACATCTGGATTACCCAGCACATGTCTTGGCCAGATGCTCAGCGTTACTGCAGAGAGCACCACACAGACCTGGCCAGTGTGAGGAACTGGGCAGAAAATCAGAGAATTGTTGATATTTCAGGTGGCTCTGATGTTTGGATTGGTCTATATAGGACCAGACTGTGGTCAGACCAGCACAGCTCCACATATGAGAACTGGAGACCAGGTCTGAATTATGTGTCTGAAGAACCAAACAATGGTTTGTCAGATGCTTCTGGCGAATATGGTAACCAGCATTGTACCGCTATATCATTCAGCGATTCAGGCCAGTGGGCAGATGAGAACTGCTTAGCCACACTGCCTTTTGTCTGCTACAACAGTGAGTTCTTCTTCTCTACTTGTTTCTTTTTAGTGCACTTTATATTTTACTCAGACTGAAGAGCTGCAGTAGATAACACATCCTGTAGAGAACACATCTTCTAAACACCTCACCTCACTTTTAATATGGAAGGCATTCATTCATCGGCCACTTCATTGGGAACCCCAGTCTAATTCTGGATAGGACTCGTTGGTTGCAACATGTAATTGAAGATTTGTCAGCTGTGCATTTATGTCACGGAAGTGATCTACTGGATTTATATCTGGTGATTTGGGAGGCCATTGTAGTACACTGGACTAACTGTCCTGTTAATACCATATTTGGTGTCCTTAAATAAAACTAATAGCCAGTAATTTATCAGCAGTACATCTTCAAGATATTTACCTCAATGTATTCAGATGCTTCACTACTTCTCTTTAACTGATGTGATGTGTTGATGTGTTATTGATAATCTGTTAAGAGTTTATTAATCATCTACAAAGGACCACTCCAAATAAAGTGTTACTGATGTGCTTAAAATGACCAAGGCAAAAATGGGTTTCTTTTCAACACAGTAAAAGAAGTAGAAAGCAGAAAATGTAAAACACTGCGAAAGAGGAAGATACATATATATATATATATATATATATATATATATATATATATATATATTATATATATATATATATTCGGTCAAAATGTTAAAATAAATACATCTACAAATAACAAAGTAATAATGAAAATAAATATATAAACATGGAAAAAAATAACATGGAAAATAAGATAATAATAAAAATAATACTTCCATTGTAACAAATCAGATGCTAAATCAAGTGCTAAAGTAAAATATAATTTAATCTGCTGTTTAAAGCTGCTAACCGAAGATGTTTGCTGTGTGTCTTGTGAGAGGGAGTTCCACAGTTTGGGAGCATATCTGTTAAATGCAGCCTCACCACTTCTGTAGATTTTTATTTTTGGAACAGAAAGTAATCCAGGTTTTGATGATCTTAGACACTGTTGTGAAGCAGATTCAGTTAGACAATCTACATATAAAAAGCTGCCAGTCCATGAATGGCTTCAAAAACAAAATAAAATGAATTTAATTTATTCTGTTTTGAGCAGGAAGCCAGTGAAGTGTTGCCAGTACTTGAGCGATATGTTCATTCTTCCATGCTTGAGTCAGAACTCTTCCTGCTGCCTGCTATACAGGCTGTAGTTTGTCTATACTTTAGATAAGCCAGTGCAAAGTATGTTAGATTAGTTATAGTATATAAGTAGATTATTTATCCAAATTGAGAAAATAAAAGTATGAGTCAACTTCTTAGTGTTATGCAATGTGAGATAAGGCCTGACTTTAGCCAAGGTTTCTATGATGAAAACATGCTGTTTTCAATATGCTATCAATATGAAACTAAGATCAGAGTCAGTCATAACATCCAGGTCTCGCACTTCAGATTTATTATTTGTTGCTAAACCTCCTAGTTTATTCATAAACAGTAGATGTGCAGTAGATCCAATAAGTAAAATTTCAATTTTGTTCTCATAATTTTTCAGCCTGAAGAGCTGGTGTATTATCTTGTAAAAATAGTTTCATACTTGCAAAGATTATCTCTTATTACTCATGTCTGTGAATTCCTGCAGGCATCATGAGATCATTTCTATGTAAAAATGATACATGCTTTATCTCTTTTTTATTTTTTTAATACAGAGTTCTGTGCAGGATCCTCCTGTGTTCCTCATCAGTATCACTTTATTAATGAGCCAAAGACCTGGGCAGCAGCACAGAGGTACTGCAGAGGGAATTACACTGACCTGGCCACCTTTGATAATGTGGAGGAGGTAAACAGGGTCGTTATGACAGTAGGTGGTAGTTACTCTGGTTTAGCCTGGATCGGACTGTATGATGACCTGAACAGCTGGAGATGGTCTCTGGATGAAGATGGTTTCTACAAAGAGGATGAGAGGAACTTTAGAAGCTGGTACATAAGGAAACCTGGAAACTTAGATGGAAAGAGTTTGTGTGTCAACTTTTTGCGTGTGGAAGGAACATGGGAAGAGGAAAATTGCAACGCCAGATTTCCATTTGTTTGTTATGATGGTTAGTACATCAGTAATGCATGTTATACAGGAAAATACTTTAGAAATAAAGGATTGAAAAAAGTTGGAACGCGGTGCAAAATGTAAATAAAAACAAAATTATTTAAGCCCTATATGTCAGTGAAAATAGTACAAAGACAACAAATGAAATATTGAAACTGAAAAATTGTATTGTTTTTTTGAAAAATATATGCCTATTTTGAATTTGAAGCCAGCAATACATTGGGACGGGACAATAAAAGGCTGGTAAAGTTTTGTAATGCTTAAAAAATGTGGTGGTTAATTCGCAACAGGTCAATAACATGATTGGATATGATTGGAGTCTTTCAGAAGTAAAGAAGGGGTCCACTGCATGGTCAAACAGTGCAACAGTTCAAGAACAATGTTTCTCAATGGAAAATAGCAAATACCATTTACTTTTCATCATCTACAGTACATGATATCAATGTGGAGAAATCTCTGTGCCTGTATTTGCTGGCCATGATTTTTGGGGCCTCAGACGGCACTACATTAAAAATTGAAACGATTCTGCAGAGGAAATCACTGCGTGAAACACTTCTGAAAACCACTGTCTGTGAACACAGTTCATCACTGCATCCACAAATGCAAGTTATAACTCTAAAATACAAAGAGGAAACCATATATAAACAAGATCCAGGAATGCTGCCACCTTCTCTGGGCCTGAGCTCATTTAAAAAGTGGAAGTATCCTATGGTCCGATGAATCAACATTTGAAATTATTTTTGGAAATCATGGACACTGTGTCCTCCGGGCTAAAGACCACTCAGCTTGTTATCAGTGCACAGTTCAAAAGCCAGTATTCATGATGGTATAGTGGGGCATTAGTACACATGGCATGGGTGACTGGCACATCTGTGAAGACATCATTAATGCTGAATGATATACACTATATTGCCAAAAGTATTTGCTCGTCTGCCTTCACAGGCATATGAACTTGAGTGACATTCCATTCTTAATCCGTTCTCCTGGCAATCGCCAAACCCAAACTCATCGATCGGATTGCCAAACGGAGAAGCGTGATTCGTCACTCCAGAGAACACGTCTTCACTGCTCTAGAGTCCAGTGGTGGAGTGCTCCACACCACTGCATTCGACGCTTTGCATTGCACTTGGTGATATAAGGCTTGGATGCAGCTGCTCGGCCATGGAAACCCATTCCATGAAGCTCTCTACACTGTTCTTGAGCTAATCTGAAGGCTACATGAAGTTTGGAGGTCTGTAGCGATTGACTCTGCAGAAAGTTGGCGACCTCTGTGCACTATATGCCTCAGCATCCGCTGACCCCGCTCTGTCATTTTACGTGGCCAAGCACTTCGTGGTGTAGTTGCTGTCGTTCCCAATCACTTCCACTTTGTTATAATACCACTGATGGTTGACTGTGGAATATTTAGTAGCGAGGAAATTTCACGACTGGACTTGTTGCAGAGGTGGCGTCCTATCACGGTACCACGCTGGAAGTCACTGAGTGCCTGAGAGCGACCCATTCCTTCACAAATGTTTGTAGAAGCAGTCTGCATGCCTAGGTGCTTGGTTTTATACACCTGGGGCCATGGAAGTGACTGGAACACCTGAATTCAATGATTTGGATGGGTGACTGAATACTTTTGGAAATATAGTATATATGTGTTTGGGCAACATATGCTGCCATTCAGACAACGTCATTTTCAGGGAAGGCCTTGATTATTTCAGCAAGACAATGTCAAAACACACTCTGCACGTATTACAACAGCATCGCTTCATATGAAAAGAGTCCGAGTGGTAAACTGGCCTGAACTGCCACCACTGAAAACATTTGCTGCATTATGAAATGAAAAATATGACAAAGGAGACCCCGGAATGTTGAGCAGCCAAAATCCTATATCAAACTAGAATGGGAAAACATTTCACTTTCTAAAGTACAGCAATTGGTCTCCTCAGTTCCCAAGTGCTTGCAGAGTGTTGTTTAAAGAAGAGATGACAAAACTCAGTGGTATTCTAACGGTCCTGTTTTATGTGATTGGTACTGGCTGCTAAATTTCCCTTGGAATTCACACAAAATCTAAACATGCCCCTACTGTCCCAACTGTTTTGGAATGTATTGTTGGCATCAAATTCAAAATGGGCTTATATTTTTCAAAATAAATAAATAAATAAATAAATAAAATTTCTCAGTTTCAACATTTGATGTTGTCTTTAAAGTATTTTCCTTTTAAACTATGGTTTACATGATTTGCATATCTTTGCATCCTGTTTTTGATTTACATTCTGCACAGCATCCCAACTTTTTTGAAAATGGGTTTGTAACTTTTCCTTCTAAATGTTTAATATATGTTGTTCATTGTAGGGAGGGAGGATGCCAGTAAAAGATATGTTGTCTTTTATTGGTACATGACCTGGACTGAAGCTCAGAGTTACTGCAGAGAGCATTGCACGGACCTGGTCAGTGTGAGGAACAACACTGAGAACCAGGAGATAAAATCGTTACTGAAGTATGATGAAGATTCACGTTTTTGGATCGGACTGTATAGAAACAGGTCTTGGTCAGATAGGAGCAACTCTTCTTTCAGCAACTGGAAACCAGGACAACCCGATAATGCTGGGGGGAATGAATACTGTACAGCTGTGTCATTCAATGACTTTGGCCAATGGACAGATGAAAACTGCAATCACGCTTTTCCTTTTTTCTGCTACAGTGGTGAGTAGACTTCTCTTTTTAAAACTTGTAAACTTTCCATAGTGACAATATACCCTCTTTATTATTACTATATTAGGTCCTATGTTGTGTGGATGACCTCTTACACATAATATCTAAACTATTACTATTCAACTTATAAATGGAACTAGGATTGGGATTAGGAGTTGGACCAAGCTTGCGTTTACGTTTGTGTGTAGTTGCTTGGTCATGGAAACCCATTTCATTAAGCTGTAGCAAAGAAAAGGGAGGTCCAAACTGAGAATGCAAGAATGCATCCCATATAGATAAAAGCACTGTGTTGCTCACCATGGTGCCTCCATATCAAGGATGATTTCGGCTTACTCTGCCTCAGTGACGGCTGCGTGAAGGGTGACCTGTGTGGTGAGCTGCACATGCTTTCTAAGTTCCTCTGGCAGCAGCATCTTCAGGAAGTGCTCTTGCACTAACTCTTTGTGAACTGCCTTCTTGAATGCTCAGTAGGCCTGCCAAATCATTGTGCTTTGCACTCTCTCTTTTTAGCCTCTGTATGACTGGGAGTAGTGGAGAGCCATGGTCAAGTCACTGGTCCACTAGCACATGATAAGACTGGGCATTTCTTGTTGTATCGGTTGACAATGGATTTGTCTGTGTCACAAAATTTTCCCCCATACCTCCAACATAATAAGAGCCTGGATTAACCCCAGCTATGGCACACCAGCTGCCCCCTCAAAACACAGCCATCAGCACAATACCACTATTCTCCAGCTTTTTAAGATCTACCATCAACTGCCTCAAAATTTTAATCTTGTTCTCTGCACAAAAGTAAAGTTGCACATGCCCAGTATTTGACCTATAATATTATAGGATATCTCCTAGAGATAAATAGACAGCAAGAACTTTGTGCTTCCAAATGAGTCTTGGTAGAGTATCAGGAAGAAAGATGACCCTTAAGTCTGAAACAACTGATCCCATCCCAAACATCTTGCATAACATCAGAGTTTGTTACATGAGGATGCACCTTTTCATACAGTTTTCTGACTGACTCAGCCTCAATTGGGGAAGTAAAGATTTCTCTTAAAGGGATATATTGGGCAACATTTTCAGTTCCTTGATAACATTTTGATAGTAGCATCGTCAATTCCAAATAATATCAAATTCTCAGTTAATTTTGCAAATACATGACATTGTCCAATTGTTATGAATTTAATGAAATCCTCCAAACATTGTCTGAATTACTGATGTAGTTGGGAGCTAACCTTGAGTCTGCAAATAAAATATTGTCAAATTCTTAAAGAAGAGAGCCTTATGCACTTTAAACATGCCAGGGACCTCATCTGACCGACAATGTTCACGCTCTTAGGTCTGTCTTTGGTTTACCAGCACTTTTCCTACAGATGTTGAATTGGCCTGTTTTTGTTTTTGCTCTAAACCTATCAGCAATGCATACACAAATATTTTCAATGCATTACAAAACGTTTTTTAACATTAGTATTGTATGGAGATTTTGACTGGTAAACACTGCAAAGCCAAGTTCTCTAGTTTTAGAGAAATAACTAGAATTTTAGTATTGGCACCAATTTAGGCAAGCTAATCTAGCACTGAATGCAATTTGGACAAAAAAAAAGTTTTGGAAATGGCAACTTTTCTGACATTTAGCTAGCTATAGAAGTAACTATTTGCAACACAGTAACTATGAGTTACATAGTTACTGTAGAATATTTGTGTTGTAACACGGTAACCGAAATAACATGGATTAATATCAGTCTGTAATTTAATACTATCTAAATAAAGATTAATCTTCTTAAAATAATTGGACATATGTTTAAATGCTGTCATGTCATAGAGTGGTTTAAAGCCAGAACTTTGGTTTAATATAAGGTCTTACTATAAATATTACAGCATTTTTTTTTTTTTTTATTTACTCTTGTGGATAAACTACTAATAGATAATCTTGTTTTTAAGAAGTGTAAAGAAGATTCATTAATATTCATATCATTATGCTCCTCTAGCTTTGTCATCTCGTCAGTATCACTTTGTTGATGAGAGTAAAACCTGGACTGAGGCACAGAGTTACTGCAGAGAGTATTACACTGACCTGGCCACCATTGATAACATGGAGGAAATGAACATGCTCATTAACACAGTAAATGGCAGCTACTCTGGTTTAGCCTGGATTGGACTGTATGATGATCTGAACAGCTGGAGATGGTCTCTGGATGATGACAGTTTCTACATGGAGGGAGAGAGAAATTACAGAAGGTGGAGACATGAACCTAACAATTCTGGCGGAAAAGAGTTGTGTGTTGTCATGTCCGGAGCAGAGGCATGGTTTGATGTTTCCTGTGCCAACATATTCGAATTTGTGTGCTATAATGGTAAGAAAAAAATGAATTCAGTGAACATGCCCACATTTCCCTGTAATTATGATATCAGCCTGGGAAAGGGCCAATGCACATTGAAAACACACACACACCTACACACACACACACACAGAGAGAGAGAGAGAGAGAGAGAGAGAGGACCAACACAGGTGCAACTTTTATTCAGCTCACAGCTATAAGGAAGGAGCTATCATACATGACTATGGAAACAGTAGCACTGTCTCTGAGCCCCCTCATACTGTGAAACATAGAAAAATCTTTCATTGAATAGGACGGTACATTTCTGCTAAGTTGTTCCAACTACACAACAAGGCTGAGGACTGATGTAGAGAACTGATTGTTAGCTTTTATGTTTATGTTTTCCATGTTAATCACTACTATGTGATGTCTTTTATTTGCAGTCTTTGCAATTTACAACTTGATGGTCTCAAATGGTCTTCAATTATCCCCTCCCTAGGTAAAGACAACACATATTTGTATTTCTTTTACGGAAAGACTTGGGAAGAGGCTCAGATCTTCTGTAGAACGTATTACACTGATCTGGCCAGTGTGAGGAATGAGACAGAACTTCAAGAAATACAGAAAGTCTCAAATGGGCATTCAGTATGGATCGGTCTGTATAGAAGCCGACTGTGGTCAGATCAGAGCAACTCCACTTTCACATACTGGAGACTAACTGTTCAGTCAGCATATGCAGAACCTGATAATGGTGTGTCTTTAAGATGGCAACTCAAAGAACAGCAATGTATAGCTGTGGATCTAAAACATTCATCCCAATGGACAGATGAGGACTGCTTTGCCAGGTTCCCTTTCATCTGCTACAGTGGTAAGGCTATATTTATACATAACATTGATACCCTTTTATTATAATAGATCATTACTATCTTACATAATCATTTTTATTGTCATTGATCTGTATTAGTATTGTAGAATACTGAATCATAGTGGATTTAATTTTTTTGGTTTGTTTTTGTTTTGTTTTGTTTTGTTTTACACTGATCAACAGAAACACTTTTCTGTGTCAAAGTGATAAAACGGATCTCAGCAAAGTGTTAGAAATTTGGCAGGAAGTGTCAGGAGACTGGAGCTTCAGCGTTGACTGGAGTTTATTTACACATACAGAGTATGGGTACAGCGTGGTCGATCAGCAGTCAATCGGTGGTGACAGTAGTCTAGTTTAACAAGAATATTTTGGAAGGACCTTATATACATTGAAAAAACTAAGGAGGAAGAAGGAGGGACAAAGGACAGTGAGGAGGGGTAAGGAGGGGTTGTAGACGGAGGGTATGAATAGAGATGTAGGGGTAGAGATAACGGGGTGGTGACTGTTATCAACTTAAGTCATGAGATGGTCATTTCAATACAAACAAAGGAGGGAGGGGACAAGGTTGACAGTTATCACTACTCTGCAAGCAAAAGGCCATGTGCTAAAACTCTACAAAAAATGGTTAAGACTATAAGAAAAGTAACAGATAAAGGAGAATAACATATCTTGAGAGAATAACATTAGAAAGGAAAATAACATATGGTGACAATATTTTCTCTCAAAAGTGATTTAAATTAATTACGAAAGTACAACACAAAATATGATTGCATATGCATTTACCCTCTTCAATATGACTGTCCTAAATGTCACTAGTGCAGTCAATTGGTGTTAAAGTCACATAATTATAGTTAAGTTATTGATAAATGGAGAATAAAAAGTAAGGGAAGTGTTACAAGCTGAGATGGGAAAGACTGTGTATTGAACAACAATTGCCTGCTTCACCAGTCACAGAGTTATGGGAGAGTGGCAAAAAAGCTCACTAGACCTTTCAACCGCAGTTTGTCAGATGGCAGAAGGTAGACTCTGAAGTCAGCTGGAAGAAGGTTGTATGGTCTGATGAGAGCAAAATTGAGCTTCTTAGTCATCAGAGTAAGCATCATGTTTAGTGTAAGCAAAAAACTGCTCACCATCCCCACTGTGTGAAACATGGTGGTGGCAGAATCTTGCTGTTGGTTAATGCTTCTGCAGCTGGTTCTGTAAGACTTGTGAAGGAAGAGTGTAAAATGAATGCAGCAAAATAGGGTAATCCTTGAAAAAAAATCTCAGGCAGTCTGCAAAAAACACTTGAGCCTTGTCAGACGGTTTGTCTTGCAGCATGAGGTTTACCCCAAGCATGCAACCAAAGCTATACAGGAATGGCTGAAAAACAACGATGTTAATGTTGTGGAGTGGCCATGTCAGAGTCCAGATCTCAATCAAAAAGAAATTATGGCTGGTTTGAAAAAGTCTGTTCACTATTGATGCCCATGACTTGATCACACCTGACAGAGCTTTAGAAGGTTTGCAGTAAGGAATTAAGGAATCTGCAGTGTGCAAAGCTGACAGCAACCCGTCGACACAGACTCAAAATTGTGATCGCTGCCAAAGGTACATCTACTAAATACTGACTGTATAGTGGTGAGGTACTTTCTATTTTATATCTGTAGTTAATGTGAATCACTTTGGAGACATCTGTGTTCACTTTGACACTGTTTCTGTTGATGAGTGTCCAAAAAATTAAAAAAAGTATAAATCAATTGTGATTCAATGTGATTCAATGATCATTTCCAGGAATATATGCATATATGTATATATATATATATATAATATATATATATATATATATATATATATATATATATATATATATATATACACACACACACACACAATTGACAACTGTTTCATAATGCAAATTGTTTTGTCTTCCATTTGCCTGTTGTATTTATGTTAACAGTTACTCCACTACAACACACTCCAGGTAAGAAATGTACGTTATGTGCTAATACATAAACTTTTAGCTTTAGATCTGAGTTTATAGTTCATTTAGCATTCAGTGAAAAGTACTCATTTTAAAACATTATGATTAACAGTGAAATCAATGCGTGAATTGTTTTGAGACACTGCTGTTTCCTCAGGTCCTGTAGTGGGGCTACAAATGAAAGTCAAAGCTGCAGGCAATCTGGCACAAACTCAGATTGAAGGATTGCTGCTAAAGCAGGTGAGCAGCATATCTGACTTTTTTGTACTTATATGGTCATCTAATCTGATGGGAACTGTTTCTACAGTGAAACAGTGATGTTACAGAGCAATCAATGAACCCATTCTGTGTAAAATATTAAAAATAAGATCTATTAATTGTTTTTTTTCATTAAAAAAAAACATGTAATATCTGCACAATGTAATTGTTATATAGCTTGTATCACACATACATAACACACCTTTTAGTGTTAATATGAATGTGAAAGGTAGAATTTTGTTTGATGATTGTTTTTTTTCTCTTTCAGCTTCAACATTTGGAATTTGGTACATTAGGATTCTCCAGCAACTTCACTGTGAAAGTGAAACGTCTCAGAAAGATCAGTCCATGAGGGAGACAGAAAACATTTAGACTCACCAATACTTCGTTCTTCATTTTCTGTTCAGATACTCAGGAAATAATGGTGGTTGGAATGCTGTAAAATAATCACACAGAACTGTAAACTTTGTACTGCACTTCTATAATTTGAAATATCCTAATTATTCTTCACTATTTTTTGAAAAGAAAAATATTAGGTGTATTCAACAAACATATGTTTTTTTTCTGTTGTTTAGTGTAGCAACCATTATACCAAAAGAGTTTAAACTGTAGTCCCACAGTAAAAGGCCCTTAACTTGGGTTGTTAAGTTAGGTAAACACTCAGCTTGGGGTAAAGTTTCAGCCAGTGTTCGCTACAGGGGTTTTAATGTGGTGGTCTTTATTGTTCCTATCAGAACAAATTATATTTATATAATTGTGTGATTTTTAAGACTTTAAAGACTGTGTTGTTTGATTGTTTTTGTTGTTGTTTGTCTTGAGTCACTGTGACAAATGCCCTAAATAAAAATAAAAGTCCTTAAAAAAGTTAAGTTTTTTTTTAACTAATATATTTTTTTCAGTATTTAGTGTGTCCATCCTCATTTTTTATCACAGCTTCATTCTACCTTTCTAAAATTAGTAGAAGAACCAATATCAGTACGATGCCATTTAAATATATTTATTTGCATGATATCTGTAGTGCAATTTAAATGATTCTGTGAATACAATTTCAACAAATTGTAAGCTTTGATGGAAGGATATGGAATTCTCTCATTCTGTCCATTTTAAGGCACTGTAGGACTGTGTTTAACCCTCAAGTACTGTTGATATTTTTTTCATATGTTTATGGTCCAAGAGAGGGGGTAAAATAAAATTAACTTAAAATGAACCATTTTCCTTTCAAATACTATTAGATCATGCTATACTAAACCTATTTTTACTCACTACATTAATAATAAGTGTATTTTCTGCCCTCTTTTTTCAGGGCTATAATAACTGGGCTTTCGAATTTCATGAAGGTAAATAAATATGTAAATTATCATATATTATTATTAGCGCAAATGGGGGCATATCTAATATCTTCTCACACTTCAACATATATTTAGATTTCTTTTCATTAGTAAACCTCATTCACAGATTAGGAAATGTATATTGTCATGGAGTCCCACATAGTCCATCTGTCAAATCATGGATGCAGGGTCTTTCATGCCGGTGCTGTAAATTACTGGTAAATAAAAACAAACAGCGCTATATTTAAGCAATAGAAAATGAGAGAGAGAGTGTTATCGCGAAATAACATCACGGCTGTGATTTGGTCACCGTAGATGATATTATTCGCAGTAACACATGACCGTGAGTGTTCTATTGCTTTTATACAACAGTTAAATAAATCAAGTAAGAAATTATCTTACTTGCTGTAAACGTGGCATTTAATATGTTTTAATGTTCGCAGTTCCTTCCGCCAAATTATAGTTCCTTAACAAGCAGCTTGTTGCTAAGTCAGAGTAACGAGCTCTGCCCACTCGCTGCACAGCCGGCAGTCCGTTCTCCAGCTCCACACAGACCAACTGACAGTTTGGGAATTTAGTGTCTGACCAAATCGGCTGTTGGTCAAATGTGATCTTAGAAGTGTCCATTTTCTGTTTGTGACAAAGTAAGAAGTAAAAATGTTCAAATGGCTTCAGTGTCTCTTACAACGTTCTACTTGCTTAGCAATGGCAGCTCAGCGGAGTGATACAGTGTTTGTGGAAAACACGTGATGTTATGGCGAAATAATAGCATGGTTAGAACGCCTCTCAACCAATCAGCTTGCATGGCCGGAACTAACTGTTGTATAACACAGACTCTAACCTGGTGATTTACAATCATACACACAATATATCTGTGATGAAGTATGTGACAAAAAGTTTTTTATAGTACAAAAACAGACTTCATGGTGAATCTGTACAGATATGGCTTTAGGAATACAAGAAGACCAAAAGCCTGTTCTATTTGAACCAATTTAACTAGATACAAAGGCCTAGCTCTCCCTCCCTCGTAGTCCTTTATATGTATTGCCATTTTTCATCTGTATTTCATCTGTATTTTTATGGGCTAATAGCAAATCAAAATTCAAGACATGAGTGCCTGGTTTTGAACAAAAACACTATTTATTCTTTAATCATTGTGATACTGCGAAAATATTTTTTTTTTTTTAAGCAATCGTGGATGTTTTATATGGGCTTCATAAGTAGCATAGAAAAACAAACAATATTACACTTGAACACTGTTAATCAACAACACATGACCATTTTTACATGCAAGTTTTATTGCTGTTATTTTATAGAATGAACAGTCCATCACTGTATTTTCAGCTGTATCTTCTCATATTGTAAATAAAATAAAATACAATACCATAGAATAAAATAGCATTTAAAAAAATGATACAAATATATACTTTTACTGAGAAAAGAAATCTATTTTTTTCTACAATTTTTAAACCATGAACAAATGCATAATCAGTATCTTTACAAAAACATAAGATGGCTTAATAAAGACTTCATTTGTCTCTTTCATGTCCAATGGGAAAGTTAATAATAGTAGTGCAGCCATATTTCAGATGTTGGAATTAGGCCCTCAGTCTGTTGAAATTAACCAACCAGTGGGGTACGTTGCAACACAGTGGTGTCCAGTCTTACCTGCAATGGATCAAAGTGGCTTCAGATTTTCATTCCAGTGAGCAGAAGCACACCTGATTCCAGTTTAATCAATTGTTCAGACTTCAAACAACTCACAATCATGCTCCTGTTTTGTTGGAATGAAAACCTACAGCCACACCAATGCTTTGAGGATAAAATTGGACACTCCTGTTGTAACATTTGCATTTAATCTGCTTTTGGCTGAGTTGTCAGTAAATGGAAGGTGCTGGAAATAAACTTTGCACTTTTCATTTGTAGCAGAGAAACAAAAAATATTTCGGTAACACTTTATTTGGATGATCCACTGTAGATGCTTTGTAAATGCTCAGTCTGTCTAAGTATAATTCAACTAAATATCTATTAAACTTCAAGTTAGTATGAAAGATTCTATTAAATCTATTCTTATCCCTAAACCTAACCCTAACCTTAACCGCAAGGCAAAACCTACACCATATATATTTCTGAAATGCTTTTTAAATTATTTAATGAAAAACCAAACTGTCTCAGTTTGTGTCTTGCTCTCTCCACTGTGCTGATGTTGCACATCAGTTTAATCCATTCATCTTCTTAGACCGCTTGATCCAGCTAGGGCCATGGTAGCTGTAGGGGAAGCAGAGAATTGAGATGACTCTGCACCCCCAAATCCTCCAGCTCATTCTGGGGGCACCAAGCCGCTCTGATGCCTACTTGGAGATATAATCCTAGGATGACCATGAGGTCTTGTCCCAGTGTGTAATGCCTGGCAAACCTCCAATGGGACGCGGCCACATTACTGTTGCCGCCTGTCCCAGCCTGCGGCCAATCTCATGACCCCTCTTCCCATCACTCGTGAACAAGACCCTGTGATACTTAAACACCTCCACCTGGGCAGGTCCTCTTCCCTTACTTGGAGTGTGCATACCACACTTTTCCAGGCTAGGACTCAGTTTAATCCACTAATTCATTAATGTAACTGAAGTTTTAGAATCAAATACACCTAAATCAAAAGTACATGAATCACAAGCAATGGATATAAGGATATTAGTTACTACTCTGTGTGGATCAGCAAAAATACAGATTGATCTACTAACAGTATGATCCACAGAATTATTATCTAATGCGTAATATCAAGATAACCATCTTTCCATCAAATCATCGCTGTTCAAAGAAAACCATGTAAACTCATTTTTGTTGATTTTTAGTTTTCTGCATCACTTGAACATGGTGCTCAATAGCGATGCTTTAAAATTATGGATACATATCTTTACATTGACATACATTAAAAGTAAAGAACATTTCTGCCCTCTCCATTTTGGAGATGCTTGTTTTTCTTTGGACAGTGATGAAATAGTCTGACTTGTGTGAAACATGCTGATGCATTCAGTGATGACATTAGCATTACCACTTTTATTGTCTTCCCATACGTCGATAACATTTGACAGCATATACTGCTATTACCCCTAAAAAGATGGTATATCCTACTGTTCCTGTTAGCACTAGGCCTCCTAACCCTGCTGCTGCAGTTCCTAACCCCACTCCAGCAAGACCTGAACATACTCTATCTTCAAGAAACTGCACTGGATTCTCCATTACTCTTCTAATCCACCCAGTGATGCCAGACTTTTCCTCTTCTTCTTTCCTCCTTCTCTCCTCCATCTCTCTGAGATTCACCTGTGCCTGCTGGTAGAGCTTTTTGCTGTAGAGATGTCCCCCATTCCTCTCTACCAGCAGATCAATCTTCTCAAGTAGCTCTGTGACCTGAGAGCTATTTGCCCTGTCCTCATTATTTAATACATGAAATCTCCCACCACAGCTGTTTATAACTCTGCGAAGTTCTATACTTTCTTTAATGTAATCCTCCACTCTTTTATCCTTCAGTTGATCAGCATGGGTGAGCAGAACAATGGAGTAGATTGAAGTATATTCTCCAAAGTTCTCCAGAATCCACTTCACAGCATTCCTCTCTTCCTCTGAGAATCTTGCGGCCAAACTGATGACCAGTAGGAAGATGCAGGGTCCAGGACCATCCATACTGATACATTTCTCTATTTCAGCTTTCAGCTCTTCTTTAGTCATTGAGGTGTCAAAGATCCCAGGAGTGTCGATCACTGAGATACGTGTTCCTTCTCTCTCAACAACATGCTTTTTGCACTGTGTTGTGACAGATTCTGGTGAAACGTCCTGTATGAAGACCTCACTGCCGAGGATGGTGTTTCCTGTAGAACTCTTTCCTGATCCAGTTTTACCCAGCAGCACAATCCTCACATCAGAAGAACGCAGCTGACCTGTCGATAAAACACATACACAAATACAAACCTTTTGCACATTGCATCACCTAAAATGCAGCCTTAACCTTCCTATTTTCCTGGAACTGCTGCTGTAGATTTTAATGTGAGATAACATATCCCTTTACTATCCCAGTTTCAGGAAATGGAAACTGATTAATTTTTAGTGGATTGGAATATGTTACTGCAGCTTAACATTGGGCAAAATGTACATGAACCAAATGTATTTTGTGTAGGGTCAGTTTCAGGTAGCATGTTCTGCTTTATGATATACTGTTTCACAAACATGAGACAGACGTGCAGTTTAAAAATGTCTGAGCCCCTCTTGGTAAACTCTTGTGTTGTAATGTTGCAATTAATCCAGTTATTTTAAGTATTGTCTGCTGAAAAGAACAGACCTATTTCAAACAGCAAAAGATTCTGGTGTTTTTACAGCTGACACTTTGTTAAATATCTAAAAATTGATATTTGGAAGAGAGATGAGAGATGGAAGACTTAGCAGACTCTGCGGTGGTGGTGTGCTTTTTTACTGTGCACAAATATGAACCTTATGGAAGAGTCATCACAAGAAAACCTTTCCTGCATTGTTACCACACAATTCAGTGTCAGATGTTTGCAAAGGAACATCTACAAAATCTATCCTGTGGACTAAAGAAGTTGAAATAGAACTATTTGGCCATAATGAACAATGAGCATGGGGGTGGTCGACTGATCATGCTCTGGGCTCGTGTGGCACAGGGAACATTTCATTGGTGGAGGGAAGAATATATTCAATTACATACCAGGAAATTCTGGAACCAAAAAGCTGAAAGGAGGTTGGCTTATGAAACAGGATAATGATCTTAAACGCACCTTAAAATCCACAATGGACTACCTCAAGAGTCGCAAGCTGAGGATTTTGCCATGGCCCTCATAGTCCACTGACCTAAACTGGTTTCCATTTGCGCATTGACTACAAGGTCTTGCTTGTAACATTTAAACAGCTTTGCTCCAGCATATCTAACAGATCTATTAAAGAGTAGTAGCCCAGTGTCCTCAGGAGCCAACTGACAACACATGAGGACTGTCTGCCTGAAGACCAGGTTGGAAACACTGTTAAAGCCCAGTCAGACCACTTTGCTCAGCAGAATCAGGGTTACTAGAAACTCCTAGGATCACTTACAGATTACGATCACTTAGAGCTTAGTGGCAGGAGAAGGCTATAAGAAGATGGCAAAGCTTTTTTAGTTAGCCATTTCCTCAGTTTGTAACGGAATTAAGAAATGGCAGTTAACAGCAATGGTGGAGGTCAAGTTGAGTTCTGGAAAACCAAGAAAACTTTCTGAGAGGACTGCTCATAGTTGGTCATAATGAGTTAATATAAGCTTCTTACTCCAGAGTAGTAGTCCAGAAAATATAGAGAGTAGAAAACCCCTGTGACATATTACAACTAATATGAAAAGTAGTACATATATTATGACTTCAGCTGGGACAATATGTGAAATGCTAATAAAAACAGAAAGCAGTGATCAATAAATTATGTTTGACTTACATTTAACCAGAAATTGTACATAAACTTACTTATTTATTTATTTATTTATTTATATGCTCATTCCAACTTTGATTCCTTGCAGCTTGTTCCAAAAGGTTGGAACAGGAGCATGTTTACCACTGTTACATCAGCTTTCCTTTTATTTGGGGACTGAAGACATCAATTCATCCATTTTTAAAGTGATTTTTTTTTTCCATTATTCAGTTGTGTAACTGTATGAGTCCTTATTCGGTGTATTTTGCACTTCATAATGTGCCTCATAGGATATATGGGAGACATGGGGCAAAGGTCAGGATTAATGGTAGGTCAATCTATCACCCACATAGCCATGCTGTTTTAACTCAGAATGTTTTAAATGCAGAATATGGCTTGGAGTTATCATGTTAAAATAAGCATTAACATCCCTGGAGAAAGACATCATCTAAAAGGCAACATATGCTGCTCCAAAATTTGTATATTTCTTTCAGTGTAAATAGTGCCTTCACAGATGTGCATGTTACACATGCAATGACAAACCTTGACTTTTGAACTTTACACTGGTGACAATCTAAATTGTTCTTTTCTTTGGCCTGGAGAACACAAAACCCATTACTTTCATGTACAATCTGAAAACGTGACTCTTTGGATCACAATACGCATTCCCACTGTGCATCAGTGCATTTCAGGTGAGCTTGAGCTCAGAGAAGTTGGCGGCTTTTCTGGACGTTGTTAAGTTATGGCTTCTGCTGTGCACAGAACATTCTTAACTTGCATTTTAGATGTCATGACATACAGTGTATATTGACGAGTTTGTCAAAGTATTCCTGAGCTCATGAGGTGATATCCATCACAGAAGCATTCTGCTAGTAATATCTGAGAGACTGAAGGTCAGGGGCAATAAGTTGCAGTTTTTGGCTTTTTTCCTTTTGCGCACAGAAATTTAAAATCTTGTCTCTGTACTGGTAAATACAGATCAAAGTGTATTTACAGATCATCAATTTATTATTTATTTAATTCATTTATTATTTGTTTGTTTTTAATTTGCATTACATATACTGTTTCAACCTTTTTAGAATTAAGGTTTATTATACACTGGTTGCATTTTTCCAGTTCAGTATTTCCTCTGACCAGTAACTGAGGTGAATAAATAGAGAAACTGTGAATTATTATTATTATTATTTTTTTTTAATGGATCAAGCATTTTATTATCTTAGAACTGCATTTGGTTTCTTGAAAGAGGATATGCCCACAGTAAATGTAAAAATATTACAAATGCTGATTTAAGAAAATAAGTTGGACAGGGTCAGTAACACCAGATTGAAGTATGGGTGTCTCCTATCACTTTATACCAATAGCTTTGTGCTGTTCTAAGTGATATTACTCAACCCTTGTGTTGTCTTAAGGGTCAAAAATTACCCGCCACTATGTTTAACATCAAAGAAAAACACTTGAATAATCTTTTTCTCAACTTGAAACTTGAAGACCCCAGCCCTAGAATAAAGTGAAACATTGCCTTTGTTCATTTTACAATTAAAGCTTTACACCACCAGGGTACAAAGATTGACTTAAGGGTCATTTTTGACCTGGCAGTTTATGTAAAGTGAAATAGCTTCACAGTAAATAACACTTGTGTAGTCACAACATTCAACATAAGGGTCGAAAATGAAAATGAGAACACAAGACCCAGATTAAAGAAAAAACTCTCCGGGCTTCCATGTTGGTGTCAATGTTTCTCTTTCACTGACAGCTATTGTTTAACCAAAACCCTGCTAGCCTCTTTCACTGACCAATCAAAAGTGATCACATATAGAAAGCATCCCCATACACAAGACATCAGCAGCAGGTATCATTGCTTTATTTGCTAAATCAAGAAAAAATAAAAAAAAGAAAAACATAATCATACCCTACATTATCATATATATCTTACTGGACAGAAAAAACAAAATGATGAAGCGTTCTGCAAGAGCCAGACAAAAATATGAGCAATTGATCAGAAAAAGTAATTCAGTGTATTCTGTTTAATTTTATTTCAGTTGTTATGCTTCCTTAAATGATACCACCTTCAATGTTCACTCTGTTATCTTTTTGACTTTATCATAAATAAGCTTTGTCCCTGTTCCCACAGCAAGTGCTTCTCCAGCTACAACTCCTGCTGTTGGCAGTAGTACAACTCCTGTGACTCCAATAGCCACTCCTCCTGCCACCACTCCTCCTACTCCTAGTGCTGTTCCTGCACCCAATGCAACTTCTTTTACTTTTTTTATTATTTTTTTTTTCCTCATCTCTTCCTGGGCTTTTTGAAACATCTCATTTGTATAGTGTGTTCCACCATTCCTCTCCACCATTGCATCTATCTTCTCCAGCAGCTGTGTGACCTGATTTTGGTTCTGTTTACTGTCATTGCTGAATCCATGATATCTACCACCACAACGGTCAACAAACCTCAGAAGATCTCTGCTTTCTCTGAGATACTTTTCCAGAGGTTTGCCCTTCAGCTGATCAACATGAGTGAAGGCATCTTCACCAAAGTTCCCCTGAATCCACTCCACAGCATTTTTCTCCTCCTCTGTGAATCTCCCAACTCTGATCACTAGCAGGAATGCATGAGGACCAGGGAGTGACATGTGGACACAATCTTTTATTTGTTTTTCCACGTCTTTCTGACTGAGTGATCCAAAAATTCCTGGTGTATCAACCACACAGATTTCCCTGCCTTCATGGTTTGTAGACCCTGATGTGCATTCTTTTGTAATTGACACAGGTGAGGCTTCTTCTTTAAAGAAACTCTCTCTGCCCAGGATGGTGTTTCCACTTGCACTCTTTCCTGCTCCAGTTTTACCCACCAGAACAATTCTCACTTCAAACTCTGTGAACCAATAAATATCTTATAGTTTCAAATAGAAATGTATCAATTTAAAGCAGGGCAACACTATGAAGTAATGACTTTGTAGTTCACATAGACAACCATTGTTATAAAAAAATCCATAAATTGTAGGCACTTGTGCCTAAGAATAGAAAAATAGCAATGTTTTGTGAAAATTGAAACAGGCTGAAACTTTGTTTGAAATGTTCAATGATTATAAAGTACTGTTTAAAAGCTAGGGACCATTCTTTATTTGTTTAATTTCCAGTCAAAACGGCCATTACAACCATAAGGTAATTTTGTGTAATTGTTTTGGTGTGTTGGTGAATTACAATGACAAAATATTTACATGAAACAGTCCAACCAGTCACACATGCCATATGTGTTTTCCCAGGAGACCATGATCTACTCAGATTATGTCATTATTTAACATGTCAAAATACATATATATATATATATATATGGCCATAGGTGTGTCTGTTCAAAGTGCTTAAGCATTTTTCTCTGTGTCCTTTAATCAAAACTCCAGTTTCTTTTGACTTTCTCTTACCTTATGCTACCTTATGCATTATGATTTTTTTCCATGTAATCCCCTCAGAAATATCTCTTGACAAAAGTGTAGCTTGTACTTATTTTGACTGGAAATTAAATAAAATAAGTGTAGTCTCTGACTTTTGTACAGCACTGTATGTGCATAAGTATTTAAGCATTTACATGTATCTTATTGTTTTAATAAGGTAAGATAAGATAATCCTTTATTAGTCCTACAACAGGGATATTTTCAGTGCTCCAGCAGCAAAGGGATAGCAAGGCACTCAAGAAAAGAAGTAACAACTAACAACTAAATAACTTAACAAGGCTTATCATTTGTATTGATTTGTATTTGATAGGCATAAGCCATCAGCCATGCTTTTGCAATCCTATAGATTTTGTATGTACTTTTCAAAATAGATAAATATTCTCCACATTCTTCTTGTTTTCTTCTTCTTCTTCTTCTTTTTATTATTATTATTATTATTTTTATTATTATTATTATTATTATTATTATTATTATTATTATATTATTATTATTATTGTTATTCATTTTGGGCTGACTACCCCTAAACAATCGCTGCACATATTTTGCACACACACACACACACACACACACACACACACTCACATATAGTCTATTCTATTGTCTATTGTATAGTTACTGTTTTTTATAGGTATTGATTTATTTTGTGAACACATACTGTTTGTCAGTCTTGTCTTTATGTTTATACACCAGAAATGTAGGCCAAAAGTAGTGTTACAATGTACCCCTGTATATGTATGATGACAAAGTTAAATTGAGCTGAATTGATCTTAACTGAATCTAATTTAATTGAAATAAATTAAATTTACAACATCATTTGCAAAAAAGTTGGGGTGCTGTGAAAAATTTGAATTTGATGCCAACAACACGTTCCAAAAAAGTTGGGATGGGGGCAACAAAAGGCTGGTAAAGTTGTGTAATGCTGAAAAAACACCTGGTGGTAAATTGGCAACAGGCCAGTAACATGACTGGGTATAAAAGAGCATCTCTGAGTCTTTCAGAAGTAAAGATGAGGAGGGGTTCACCACTCTGTGAAAGACTGCATGAGCAAATAGTGCAACAATTCAAGAATAAAGTTTCTGAACATAAAACAGCAAAGAACCTTTGTTTTTCATCATCTACAGTACATAATATCATTAAAAGATTCAGAGAATCTGGAGAAATCTCTGTATGTAAGAGGCCAAAACCAGTATATGCTGGCCATGATCTTTGGGCCCTCAGACGGCACTGCATTAAAAACAGACATAATTCTGTAGAGGAAATCACTGTATGGTCTCAGAAACACTTCTGAAAACCACTGTCTGTGAAAACAGATCATTGCTGCATCCACAAATAATTAAAACTCTAAAATGCAAAGAAGAAACGATATATAAACAGGATATAGAAATGCTGCCACCTTCTCTGGGCCTGAGCTCATTTAAAATGGACTGAGGTGAAGTGGAAAAGTGTCCTGTGATCTGACAAATCAACATTTGAAATTCTTTTTGGAAATCATGGACACTGTGTCCTCTGGGCTAAAGACCACTCAGCTTGTTATCAGTGCACAGTTCAAGAGCCAGTATTTATGATGGTATAGGGGGCATTAGTGCACATGGTATGGGTGACTGGCACATCTGTGAAGGCACCATTAAAGCTGAATGATATATACATGTTTTGTCAACACATGCTGCCATCCAGACATCTTTTTCAGGGAAGGCCTTGATTATGTCAGCAAGACAATGTCAAACCACATTCTGCGTGTATTACAACAGCATTGCTCCGTATCAAAAGAGTCCTGGTACTAAACTGACCTGCCTGCAGTCCAGACCTGTCACCACTGAAAACATCTGGCACATTATGAAATAAAAAAAAAAAAAATATGAAAAGGAGACGCTGAACTGTTGAGCAGCTGAAATTCTATATCAAACAAGAATGAGAAAACATTTCACTTTCAAAACTACAGCAGTGTCACACTTACAGAGTGTCGTTAAAAGAAGAGGTGATGAAGTACACACCGTAAAAAGTGATTCTGTGTTTTAACCAGTTGAACTAGTATTGTCATGTTGAATGAACTGACCGGCCATTACAACTTAAAAAAAGTTGTATATATGTTGAATATGAACATTAAAACTTAAAATCACTTGTTTAGTCATGGAAAAAAAAGGGTTCCAGTCAACGTTTTGTATACGACACATGCACCGAACCTCTGACATCAGCAGTGGTTCATCTTTGAATCAAAGATCAAGGGCAGCCATTTTGGAAGACCAGGATGCCTGGCAGTCAACTGCTACACACCGCAAATACAGCTTCAAATTGTTTAATTTTATGAAGGTCTTCCACTACACTATATCATAGATTATCTACAGTGCTGAAGTAAGTAACCAAAAGTTGGCTTTATCCAGCTCTAACTTTTTACGCTAGCTAGCTTGTTAATGCTAATGCTAGCACCTAGCTGAAAGCTATGGAAATGAACTGTTAGCTAACTGCTTGGTCATGCATGCCAGATGGCCATCGTGAGCTGAAGTTAGCTAGCGAGTTAGACTGTCTCTGGATGCCCTCCCATTTAGCAAAAGTGTATGAAGTTTAGTTTCAATGATTTTTTTAAAGCATGTTATGTGATCTCATATTTCAAGTAGATCAGCCAGGTCTGTGTCTATGGGCCTTAGCAAGTCCTTTTATGGGGGACTCCCATCTCCTGAAGCTTCTTCAGTTGTGCTGGTCAAATTGTTTTGAAGAGATGACAGAAATGACTGCCATACTGGAGAGCCTTGACAAAGATGCAAGGTAATGTTTATTTTCAAGCAGCCTTTTAATAGAACAGTTTAATAGAATAGTTTTTATGCTGTTTTTGCTTTTTTGGCAGGCATCAAACCAAAGGAAGAGGGCAGCAGCGCTGCAGGCTCTGCCCTGGTACATGAGAGAGAGTCTCTCTATTCATGAAGATGTGTGAGGTTTGTGGATCTGTCTATTGGAGTATTGTGTGTGCAAGTGTAGCAGGTGTAATAATTTACTTTAATTAATTCATTTACATATATTTATATACATTTTTTATTTAAATTTAAGTTACATTGTTTGTTATTAGTTTCACTTGAAATCCCTTCCTTAAGTTCTACCTTGCAAGTTCTTAACTGTTCTTCATGGCTTATGGGAGTACATATGTGTTTTGTCCTTTCTCAGCACCTGTAGTTTTTCTCCCTTTGTCGTGTTGGCGCTGTTTTTTTTTCAGTCTGCAGTGAACCTGACTGAGAGAGGTGCGTTTGTGAAGTGCTCTGTTCTAATAACTCATTGTAGTGTTTTAAGATGGAGTTTTTGTGAGTATATTTGTGTATTTTACCACTATGAATATAGCGACATGAACTACAGAGGCGCAAGTAACGTTTTTGAGCTTTAAAATTTTTTTTTAGCAGAGCGATAAAATGGTTAATATGCTTAGTGTTTTAGCTCCCCCCTGTGGTAGTTGAAGGGCGTTTTGCTTCCTTGCCTTTGTGCCTTATATTCGTATTGTTTCTTTTGCTAGGCATTATCTGAGAAGCTATTGACGCCAATTTATCATTCTGCTTTGTTCTAAATGATTTGTACACAGGTGAGTACTCCCATAGCCATGTTTGAAACGTTAGTTAAAGTGCTCATTTTCAGTGGATGTACTGTGTGGTTAAAATGGCGGACGCCATGTGAGTTTTTTTATATTTTTTCTTTTTTTTTTTCTTTTCCCCCTTTTTCTGTTGAATAAGTAATTCTAGATACACCTATTCATCAGCTGATTTATGGTAGATTTATAAGAAATGCAGAGGGGAAACCTCTGCGATGTCATGTTAAGAAAACCTACTGAGTTTGTACTACAGTTTTATCATGTATATGCTCAGTTGTATGTATCTGTGTCAGAGTGTGTTCCATGGTAATATAGTGTGTTTTTAATATTGAAAATTATTACTGATTGGAAATTAATGTGACACATAATAATTACTGCTTATGGCTTACAGTCGGTTTAATAACTATATGCCTATATAGATATATATACTATTATATGTATGTATTTTTTTTTGTGCAGCTCAGTCTGCAGTGAACCTGACTGAGAGAGGCATTATCTGAGAAGCTATTGACGCCAATTTATCATTCTGCTTTGTTCTAAATGATTTGTACACAGAAATACACACAGACTGAAGCTGATATCCGGTGTCCTGAGTTTTATTAGAATCCCATACACAACGCAGATGACGGGGGAGTAGCAGAAGGGGAAGTCTGGCTACATTGGTGCCGTGACCCGGATTTCTTCAGATCATCGCCAGTGTGATCACCGACGATTGCTGCATCTGTTATCTGTGTGTTTGATGGGTGGTAGTGAATGCTTCTTCAGAACTCTTAGATTTCTGCCTCGAGTCAAGTGGTAATAGACCTAATTATCATGATGTCCCATACCGGAAAGGACATGAATGGTTTACCTGTTAATGATGACTCTATCAGTGGGTTAGGCAGAGGGTGGTTTTGGAGAGATTTGGACCAGACTCCAGTTAAGCGTGCTCATTTACCAGGTCCACCTGTTTCCTGTTCCACTCAGATATGTACAGATACTCCAATGGTTAGTCAACCTTCACACAGGCCAGCCCTAGAGAATCTTGTAACCCAGTTAGCTCAGCAAATTGGACAGAACATTGCTTCCCAGCTAAAAGAAGGGTTAAATACGCAAAGTATTAGTACACTTCAGAGTAATAATGCGCAGTCACAGAATGCAGAGATAAATCAGACACCCACTGAGCTGAACATGACAGGAGTCAAACTAATTATGGCTACAGATGTTAAAGAGCCCCCACACTTTAGAGGAGATGGGTCAGATAAACATTCGGTACATGAATGGGAGGAAATTGTAGATAACTATCTTAAAAAGAGGGGAATTCCAATCAGAGAACAGTTTCAAGAAATCATGTCTAGACTAACGGGAAGAGCTAAGGATGTTGTACGTGTAGCTTTACGTAGTAACCCATCATTAAGGCCAACAGACAATCCTAAGCTTATTACTGATGTACTCAAACAGCATTATGGTGAGATGACTTACTCTTCCATGCCCCTAGCTGACTTTTACAACACAGTCCCTCATGCTGGCGAAAGTGCCATGGATTATTGGCTCCGCTTAAACAAAGCAGTAGACATAGCTGATGAGTGTTTGAGGAGACGGGGTCGCTGTGTTGAAGAGCCAAGTCGTGAAGTCACAATGATGTTTGTAAAACATTGTCCCGACTCTGCTCTTGCTAGCATTTTAAAGTTCAAGACAGCTGAGAAATGGACTGCAAATGAGATTCAGGAGCATTTGACTGAGCATCAGAGAGAAGAGCGAGCGAAGTGTCAAGCGAAATTGGGCAGGCCCCCACAAGTAAAGCGTGTTGGGGTCCACCTACAAACACCAACATGTGAGAATGAGGAGGCTGAGATTTCAAGAGAGTTCATGAATGAAGGGGTTGAGAGGACACCAAACTCCCTGTCACAGACAGATGGCAATTGTGTGCAGTCTCTTATCAGTCTTTTAGACCGTGTGCTGGAACAGAGGACCCAGTCAGCAGTGCTTGCGCAGCCTTCTCGGAAACCTACAAGTTGCAAGGTATGTGAATCAACTGAACACACCACAGTGTTTCACTGTAGACAAGAAGGCTTGTGCTTGTCTTGTTTCAAGTCTGGTCACTGGAAGAAACAGTGCTGGAAGTGGAAGTCAAAGACAGGGCCTGTGGCTAGGGAGGCCCCCAAGCCGCATAGCAGTGAAAACAAGGACGTCCAGTTAAACTAAGTCACCTGCATGTGGAGAGGGGACGTGTGGGTGTTCATGAGCCTGCCCTCATCACCAATGATTTGGAGGAACGTTATATAGATATTTGCCAGACAGTTTCAAGCGACTGCAAAGTGATCGCACAGAATATACAGAGAATCGAACCATTCAGTACATTGTACCATGTACCAGTCACAATTAATGGTGTATTTCAGCTACAAGGGATGCTTGACTCGGGTTCGATGGCCTGCACATTGAGCGAAGATGCTGAGCGGAAACTTCTCAATGGAAATGTTATTTCTGAGACAGTACAGCTAACAGAGCGGATCATTCTTGTGGGCTGTGGAGGACAGCAAGTGCAGCCCAAAAGCATGTATGAGATCGAATTAAGCCTATATGGAGTAAAGTGTATGGTACCTGTTTTGGTAGTGCCTGGCCAAAACGATGATGTTATCATTGGTACTAATGTTTTGAAGTATGTCATGCATCAGATGAAATGTGACGATAACTACTGGAAACTAGTCTCTCGAACAGATACACAGAAGTCTCCTGAATGTGAACGGTTCCTAGAAATGATGTCATGTCTTACCAGGTGGAGAGGTGAGAAGCTCCCAGATAAGGTTGGTACTGCCAAGTTGACACAGGCAGTTACGCTGCTCCCTAAGCGAGAGTATCTAGTATGGGGCCGACTACCAAGTAACGTGCCTATGTCACCAGGGAGTACGGTTATGATAGAGCCCACATCCTCAAGGTCGATCCCTAGAAACATCCTTGTGGGACGAGTTATTACACCACTTTGGGGAGATGGCTGGATCCCGATGAAAATCACAAACCCTACAGAAAAAGAAATCACTTTGAAACGGAACTGTAAGTTGGCTGATGTCCAGCCTTGTTTGGCTGTTGAAGACCTTGCAGTGTTTCAAGGCATGTGTCAGAAGCGCTCATGCCCCAAAGAAGCTGTAGTTGAAGGAGAGGCTAGCATAGCTAGTCTTAAGAGAAGGCTCGAGGAAATAGGCTTAGGCAATCTTGACATAGAATCTTGCCAAGTCAGTCAGTCAACAAAGCTTCAGTTAGTACAGATGGTTGAAACTTACCAAGATGTATTTTCAAAGCACCATCTAGATTGTGGGGAAGCCAAGGGTTTCGTGCACCGTATCCGGTTGACAGATGATCACCCCTTTCGTCTCCCTTACCGTCGTGTGCCTCCAGCACATTATCAAAAGCTACGTCAGGTGCTAACAGAGATGGAGGAGCAGGGAATCATCAGAAAGTCGGTGAGCGAGTATGCTTCTCCACTAGTGATGGTATGGAAAAAAGATGGGAGTCTCCGGA